CGAGAATGAGATAAGAAACCAAACAGTAAAGCAACAATATTACTAACAGAAGTGTACAGAAAGAGAAAATTATTCATATGCAAAAAGTGCTCACTGTAATTCTCACAATAAACAAATACAGATGGGCTTCCCCCACCACCGGTCTTCTCACCGGAGGGAACCCCTTCTCCCTGGAAGAGGGTCCCTTTCCTCTGCCCCGGCAATGACTTGAGATGGTATTGAATACCATCAGGGTCCTGGCCATGCCACCTCTCAACTACTGCAAAAAAATTAACCCCATCCTGGCCAGAACCAGGACAACTGGCTTTTGAATATAACCAAGGAGGGACACTTCACAGCCTCTCTGGGCAACCTCATCCAGTGTATGACCACCCTCACAGTGAGAAACTGTTTTCTGATGTTCAGATGGAATTTCGTCTGTTTCAGTTTGTGCCAGTTGCCTTGTGTCCTGATTTTGTCTGGGAGAGAGTTAATTTTTTCTTAGTAGCTGGTACAGTGCTGTGTTTTGGATTCAATGTGAAAATAATGCTGATAAACACACTGATGTTTTGGTTGTTGCCAAGCAGTACTTACCCTAAGTCGAGGATTTTTCAGTGTCTCATGCTTTTCCAGTGAGGAGCTGAACGAAAACCTGGGAAGGAGCTGACCAGGACAGCTGATCTGAACTGCCAAAGGGATATTCCATAGCATGAAATATCATGCCAGTATATAAACTGGGAGAGTTACTCTGAAGAGTGGCTGACTGCGGTTCGGGCACGGGTTTGGCATCAATCAGCAAATGGTGAGCAACTGTACTGTGCATCTCTTGATTTTCTTGGGCTTTCTCTGTCTCTCTGTGATGATAATGAAAGTAAATTTTGCTTTGTTTCAATTAATCTGTTCTGATCTCAACCCATGAGTTTTACTTTGTTCCCTGATTCTCCTCCTGGGTAAGTGAATGATGGTACTTAGTTGCAGGTTGGGGTTAAACCATGACATCCATTTTGGCACCCAGTGTCAGGCAGGAAGGATTGAGGTAACCAGAGATCTGACCAGAGCATGTTGAAACAAAGGTGTTATGAGCAATTAATTGTATTGCTTTAATAGTTGCTGGTTACAATGTTGATTTATTTGCTATGAGAGCTGTTGTGCTTGTTCTCAGAGGTGTGTTGTGTAATTACTTACTTGCAGTATGTGTTCCCTGTGGTGCTGTTTGTCCTACAGGGGCCTTAGCTAAGATTATAATTTGGGTGTACTCTGTAGTATTGGTTTATGATGTGAGTGTTGTGGGTTGGGAAACTGATCTGGTATGTGTATTCAGTATTGCAGTCACCTCTGTACTTTGGGAGTCATCTACTGGGCATGATGAATAATCATGCCTTTGGCCTTTTCTCCAATTTATGGGGGAGGTATCTTCCTACATTTTTTTCCTTCTTTCCTTCCTTCTTGTCAAGGCTTCTTACAGTAGCATTTGAGAATTTTAAAGATTTTGGAATATCTTTTGAATACCCTTGAAACTAACCTGGTCCTTTTGCTAGGAGCCAGCATGTTACTGCATATGGTTCAGGTCTTGTTGTGCCCCTGGCAGGGAGGTTAAAACTAAATGACCTTTAAGGTTCCTTCCAACCCAAGACATTCTATGGTTCTGTGATTCTATGGTCTGATTAGGTGTTTATACACATAGATAAGAGCCTTCTCTTCTCTAGGCTGAATCATCCCAGCTCTCTGAGCCTGCCTTCATGACGGAGATGCTCCAGTCCATTTGTCAGTCATGGTGCTTTTTGTTGCACGCTTGCTAGCTCCATATCACGCTTGTATTGGGAAACCCAAAACTAGGCACAACACTCTGGGCGTACCCTCACCAGTGCTGAATAAAAGGGAAGGATCACCTTAATTTATCTGCTGTCAGCCTCCCTCCCGGTGCAGCCCAGGACACAGTTAACCACATCTGCTTCATGGGAATGGTACTGGCTTGTGTTCCATTTGGTGTCCAAAACTCCCAAAGGCATTTTCAGCAAAGCTGCTTTCCAGCCTTCAGCCCCCATCATGTACCCCGTATGCCTGGGGTTGTTCCTCCCCAGGTGCGGGACTGTGCTTCCCCTTGTTGAGCTTCACAACATTTTTGCCAGCCCATTTTCTCCAGCCTGTCAGGGTCCCTCTGGATGGCAGCATGACCCACTGGCCTATCAGCCAATCTTCTAGTGCAATATTGTTTACAAATACCACATTGAATTAAGCAGAAGTAAGGCTTAGACATGTCTGAGAGATGTTGTAGTAGTGAGACAACAATTCAGTTATTGGTTAACTGAAAATAATTTCAGCTGTTATTGTTTGCAGCATACTCCCTCTGCCCCTTAAAGTTAGTGCATTTAGAATCCTTGGCTTGGTTTGGGAATGCTAGATTTGGTACTAGGCAGGTAAGTCCTTTCTGTTCACTGAAGCAAAGGATATTAGTGATGTAGAAGACAAATTCATAAGTGGATGCTCAAGTAATTTGCTTTAAAAGAAAAACCAAACCGAGCAACAATAGAATACCTTAACTCTTCTATGTCCCACTCCTCTCCTCTCCTCTCCTTCATTTCCCCTTCTACCTCCTCTTGCCCTGCAAAGTGCCCCAGAACCTCACTGACACTATTGCTGAATATGAAAAGAATTAAAGGAAGGATTTTTACCTATGTGCTATGATGAAATAACTACTGAGTGCTGGGTGTCTTGTTTGCAGTCAGTGGAATGGATTGAAAGATGTGAAGTGGTGAATAACGGAGGACTGCTAATTTTTTTCGCAGTGAAGAAATACCAAAGGGTTTGGTTATTAGAGGGAGGTGTGTGTGTATTTCAGTGATGTATATACTTATTTAATATATTTAAGGTGAAAGCCTAAAAGGTGATTTTGTTAAGGGAAGGCACATATCCTGTTTAATTACATTTCCAGTGTCACTTTACTGTGAGTGAACCATTACAAATAGTAAACACTCTCTATTGCACTTTGCAATGAAGGAAAACATAGCTTCACCTTTGGTCATAAATCCAAGTTTCATTTTCCCAGGACTGGTCATATCAGTAAGATTATATGTGGAACTTCAATAGATGGGAATAAATAAAGGATGTATTGTATACAAGCCAGCTGTTTACTACTGAGGGAAGTTATCTCACACATGTCAAGGTATATTTGTCTATATGGACTTGGTAATTTAAATGCAAAAATACCCTCAAATTAAAATGGTACTGATTTTTGGAATGGGAAAGTGTCATGATTTAACCCCAGATTGCAAAGGAGTCACTTCCCACCCCACTTCCAGTGGGGAGAATCGGAAAAACAAAGTAAAACTTGTGGATTGAGATAAGAACAGTTTAATAATTGAAACAAAATAAAATATACTGCTATCAATTACAATGAAAAGGTGAGAGAGAGGACTCAAGAGGAACAAATGATGCTCACAGTTGCCCACCATTCAATGAGTGATTCCCAGCCTGTCCCCAGGCAGCTCTTGGCCCGTCATGGCCAAATCCCCAGTTTATGTACTGGACATGGTGTTCTATGGCATGGAGTAACCCAGTTGGAACGTGGTGTCCCAGCCATGCTCCCTCCCAGTGTCTTCTGTACCTGCTCACTCTCATGGGATGGGAAGCCTTGATTCAGAGTAAGCAGTGCTTAGCAACAACTGAAACATCCTGTTATCAACTCTGTTCTCATACTGAATGCAAAACCACAGCACTGTGCCAGCTGTCAGGAAGAAGATATTCTCTGTCTCAGCCAAAAGCTGGACACATAGTTGCAGCAATCTAGTTAATTTAAATTCAAACAGGGATGGAATATAGTGTAGGGAGGGGAATAGGATGTTACTGAAGATGGGAGTGTGGGTAAAGAAATGCAATTAATTGCTAAGAATGGAAAGTGATAATGCTGGGTGAATTTGGGATGTGAAATGAGAGGAAAAATAAAGATTCAAAAAGCAGACTAAATTTTGAAATACTCATAGGACCATGAAGCGTGGAAAGACGTAAAGGCATCTTATCTTGCACATACAGCTTTCTTGTGCAGTGATTCATACAAAGCTAGAAGAGACATGAAGCTAATGAAATTAGTGACTAATACGCTGACGTACAAGCAAAGCGTATGGTTACAGTGTGTGGCATAAAAAAAGATGGTTGCATGCATTTTGCAGATGTAGAAAATGAGGGAATGAATTATGTGCTCAGGAAAGCGAAATCAGTAAAAAGCTAGTCACAGCTGAATTATTTGTATTCTGGGATGAGCTTTTTTGTAAGATTAATGAAGAGTTTGGTGAACAATAGATCACACATGGTGATATATAGCTGGAAATAGCAACACCTTCTGAAGATAATGTATATCTGTCAGTTGCCTAAAGATCAGTCCTTTCATGAGTACTATATCTTGGTATGAAATAGAAATATGACTTTTTTTAGTCATCCTCAGTGTAGAAATGGAAATAAGAGGAAATGCTGATTTTATGTGTATCACTTGCGGACTGTTTTCTGCTGCAGAGCTTTCAGAGAATGAGGAGTAGTGTAGTCTTGTTGTTAAAATGCTAATGTGAGAGCTAGGAAATAAAGTGTTTTTTCTCTGTATTTGCAGTGTGAGTGGGAAGTGAGTAGTTGCTGTTTACCATTTACTAAATGGTAATAGTGATATTTTATCAAACGTGGTTTTGTTACTCTAGATTGTGCCTGTGTGATGTAACTCTCTAGATAGGGAGCATCCAGATGGATCTACACAGGAAGATGCCAGGTTAACTTGAGAAAACGTGCTTAATAAATAGACGTATGGACTAGACTGTGTACGTCACAACAGAGTTTGTGCTGGATAAAAGCTGAGTATTCTTAAAAGAGTAAAGTGAAAAAGTAAACATTTGTTTTGTACCTTTTATACTAGCTTGGGCAGATGATTTTAGAAGCTTCTTTTCATGTCTGAAACCAAGTATTTTGAATTTCAGAATTTGTTTTACAGATTATGCTCTATGGTGTATGTAATTTTTTTCTTTTTTTTTCTTTTTTTAAAGCTAGATTGAAAGTGAATCAGAATGGCTGCTGTCATCTCAGATAGTCCTCCGAACCCAAGCTGCAAAATCATGACTTTTAGGCCTTCAATGGATGAATTCAGGGAATTCAACAAATACTTAGCGTACATGGAATCACAGGGTGCTCATAGGGCTGGAGTTGCAAAGGTAAACGTCAGTAACATAGAAGGAAGATTGATCCTAATACCTGTTCTCCTAGTATTTGTATTTTGCTGATTACAATTCCTGACCTTTTTAGTTTTTAACATTCTAAATGATTTTCAATGAATAGGTGCTGATCTGTTACTGTTTTAAGAAAGAGCCTTTTGGTATCTCTGATGTTTCGTGCAGACTAATGAAGATGATGTATTCTGTTTTCTAACTGTTAATTGTTTACAAGTTTACAGTAGCAAAATAGGATCTCATTTTGTGTAGATTTAAACTAGTTTTTGTCAAATCAGAACTAAACAGGGAGTTGACAGTATAAATTGAAGTAATCTTGAACAGGTGTTGAACTTGATCTTTTAGGGTTATGCAAAGCTTTGCTGGAGCAAATAATCCCAATACAGTCAATAGTGACGTATGTGAGGCACTGTTTAAATGGAAATCGTTTTCTTTTTAAGGGCGATCATGTTATCTCTTTGTTAATGAGCATTGGAGGGACACTATCTGCGATTTTATTGCCCATTGAAAATTGGCACATCCAGGACCTTACAGCAGGTGTCCCTCCCCTCACAGAGAGTGATTGTCAGAGGTTAAGTCCAATGTAATTTAGTGACATCACAAAAGTGTTTACACTGTGTCTGTTTTGCTGCCTTTCAAACCAGCAGCACCCTGTGCAGGTCCAGAAGTACTAGCTTAATTATTGAAAGTGCTCAGTAGGGATAGCCATCTCCATCACTGGGTTTTTAAGCGAATGTTGCATAGTCAAGACATTTAGAATCTGAGAGAAGAGAAACAAGACTTGCAATTCTTGGTTTTCCCCTGCCCACTCCCTCCCCCTGCTTCCTGTAAAGCAAAGCAAAACTGAAGTCCTAACACTTTGGAAACCTTGTATGTTATTTGATTTTTTTTTAATTTCTGAGGATAGAGTACATATAGGTCATAGTCTCAAACTCTTCTCTGCAAACAGAAGTAGAAATTTGATAAATAGTGGAAAGCCTGAGCTGAATTTTTCCTATATTCAACTGTATTATGGAACCTATTTTTTGTGTGGGGATGAACTAAACTTTCATTTTCTCCAGTAAACTTTCATTTTGGACAGTAAATTTCAAATACATGGTAGTGACATTATCTTGCTTTCTTGAATAGCATCTCTTGCTGTTTTTAGTCTGACAGTTACTTGCTACATATTAGTACTTTATCTTGAGAATTCTGTTTTCCACTATATTTTGATATATCTCAAAAGAATTCATGAATAAAAATAAACCAACTAAATATTTTTAAAAACAAATCTTATCAAGTGAATAATTCATACCGCAAAGGGATATTTTCTGGGTTTTGGAAATTGATTTTAAAATAACAAGAAAAAATACATTTTTTCTGTTTTGATAGTAATATAAAATTACCTTACAAAGAACCTAATTTTTCTGAAGTCTAGCATGTACAAGCTCAAGCATTAATGTGAAGAGAATAACAGCTACCAGAAGAACTATATGCATATGCAGAAACAGTAATTTAACTTCTGAACAGAGAACACAATCAGAATAGGTGTATCCAACACTTTAGGTTAAATGTGAAGGTGTAAGGGGAGAAGACCTGTTACCTGTGTAGGAGAGTATGTGTATGTAAATAGGGATAAAATTACTGTAAGGCTTGCATGTATTGGAGGAGGGAGGGACTACGGGAAATAAAATGCTAAAAAAACTACAACCACCCCATAAGTTCCTAATACTGTCTGAAACAAGTGATTAAGGTACTAGATAAACAATATTGGCAAAAAAATCACCATTAGGCTTTTGAAAGTCTGGAATGAGCTTTAGTCATAAAAAAAAAAAATCTTATTTTAGTCTACTGTTACAGAGGGTCCAAGACTTTGAAAACAAGGACTGGAAAGAATGGACCAAATGAAAACCAAGGCACACTGATTAGTTGGTCTTTACTGGAATAAGAATTGTTTTGAAGTCTCAAACTGAATTTATATGGAGCAAAATTAATTTTCAGTCACATTGGCAAGTAGAAAAGTAATTTTGGAATATTATGCTGAAAACAGATATTGACAAGTGCAAGAAAAACAATTTTCAGAGGAGTTGGGGAGAAGTAATTACACAAAAATAGTAGTCAGTGCTATTCAGAGTCAGATGTACAACAGGAGATTACCAGTATATGAAAGAGGATTTAACAGAAATGTATGTGTTGAGAGCACTCTGCAGTAATCTCAGTAGTACTAAAGTGCCGTCTTCATGGAGGAGACTGTGATATAACTAAGACATCCCTATCTAAATCTGAATGCATATCACACTACGTGATACTAGCCAGTATTAATATGCTTAAGATCTTTGATAAATAAATAAATAAATAAATATGTAATTGAGCAAGTCTTGCCTTAGGTTTTTCCTTTTTCATATTTGAGCTTTCAAAAGCTTGATTGATGAATTTGATCTAAGTTGCTTCCATTGAATAAACCTAACTTTCCTGACTTTGAAGAGGTTATTTTTACTAAAGGGAGTATGTAGAGGCTTCACAGTGATCTGGTCATTATTTCCAGCTCTTACACTGTTTATCTACCTGTTGCTTTGGACATGATATTTTAACATTTTCAGTCCTTGTCCTAATCTTTTTTAGAAAATGCAGATTCTTTGGGCAGGAGCTCTATTTTTATTTTCTTTTAAAGTGGTACTTTGTGTATTGGTCCCCAGAGAATTCACTTCACTAACCAGTACACTAATTACAACAGGAATAAACATGCTCCAGTTAGCTGGAAGGAGATACTTTGAACCTGTATTCACGAAAATATTTTTATTGCTTAAAACACACTGACCTTGAATTAAGTAAGATAATGCAAATATTGCTTTTCGGTATTCTTATAGTTGAACCAAACCTACAACTTTATGCTTAATAATCATGAAAATGGAAATCTCTGTGCACATATTTGATTTCTATGCATATATTCTGGATGCATGACTTCTCTGCTTCAAACTAACATTCTGTATTTTGTTGATGTGCATATAATTTAAGATTTCTGTGAAAGAAGTAAGTAGGAATCACAGGATGATTTGCTTACTTTTTTTCTCTAAAAGCAATCAACTTGCTAAGCAGTCCCTGTACAGCGGAAGTGCTATGGAACCTGCTATGGAACCTGAGAAGGAAAAATGGAAAAGAGGGAGTTGCATCTGTGTAAAAACTGGATAAAAATGCCTATTTATGTTTGAATTAAAAACTTTAGGTTTGGAAGTGTGTTACTTTCTTAAAACTTTTCTTCATTTTGATGTATGTCCTTTGCTTTGTGCTTGTTAGCACAAATGGTCTTGACTGGATTTCTTTGAGGAATGAACTGTTTGAGTACATTAGTATTATAATTTGCCCATTTGTGATTTGTGAAAAGTTGATTTGAGCATGGCAGAAAAGAATGAATATAACAAGCGGTTCAAAAAACATGGCATTGAGCCTTTGGACAAGTAAAAGTTCAAAACAAAAGCCAGACCAAAAAATATATATAAAATTTTTCTATTCCTGTGTTTTATAAGTGATGCAGTTAACATCTAGAGAGTTATCTGTTTGCAGGTGAAATAATACATGCAAAGAATGTTCAAAATTACACAGCCCTGTTAAAGAACACTGGTGTTACTACAGTATTCTTTGAAATTCTTAGTGACTTTATTGCTAACACTTTGGAATCTGCTGAGTAGTTCTCATAGATTGTGAGTAATTTTGTGGTACTTGAAATAAATATGTTAACTTTACAATTGGTAAATCTGCACATAGCTTTAATCTTCAATTATGAGGATAAAATAATGTAATTACAAAAGCTAATATATCTAAATAAGTGCAAACTCTTACTGTAATAGAGTTGCATCCTGTAGTGTTATGGGGAGTGAGTTGCACAGACTCTCAAATCTAAAGGTCTCTAAAATAGCTGTACTTTTTTCGCTTTTCAGTAAAAAATAAAGTTACATATACTTTTTATACCAAATAACATATAGATAGGGGAGTGCCAGTTTTTTGTATGAGTATTTCAATTGACGATAAAAATTTTGTATCTTTGAATCATTAGGTTTGAAAAAGACCTCTAAGATCATTGAGTCCAACCATTGACCTTACACCACCATGTTCACCACTAAGCCATATCCCCAAATGCAACATCCATGCATTTTTTAACACTAAATATGTATCATACCATGGATTCTGAACTATTTTTCAATTGTAAGGCTTTCTGATTGTAAAGCATGTTTGCACAGTTGTCTTTGATTGAATTGCTGTAGATGAGCGAGTTGCTGGTTTTGAATTGAGGTGATACTATCCCTATTTTGAGTTGCTTCTACATTATCTAGGAGCACTTACATAATCAGTTAGTTAGTGTGAAAGAGCTGGTAAGCAAGTGTTCATTGGATCGTGTGGTCATATTTGACTGGTTCTTTCAATTTTTTCCAGGATGTTTTGAACTGATACCGCAACTGTGATGTCCTGTGTTTTATTTTTGAATTTAAAGGTTATCCCACCAAAGGAGTGGAAGCCAAGAAAACATTATAATGATATTGAAGATTTGGTGATTCCTGCTCCAATTCAACAGATAGTCACTGGCCAGTTGGGGCTTTTCACACAGTACAACATTCAGAAAAAGCCCATGACAGTGAAGGAGTTCAAGCAGCTGGCCAACAGTGACAAGTATGTATGTCTTAGAAAGACAAATATTTATCTTCACATATTGTGATTTCTTTGAATTGTACAAGGCAAGTGGTGATTTTTTTTTTACTTTTTTCCTGGCTCCTAGGGTTACAACAATATTGGTTTTGTTTATGTTATTGAAAGCATCTGATACCATGACAGCAAGAAAGCATCTAGAAAACCTGAGACATGATGCTTTCTGTCTGCCTTTTTTTCTTTCTGTTCTAGAAGATGATTATGTAGAAAATAGTGAAGATGATAGAGACTAACATCTGAGTTTTAATTTGATTACACCTATTCATATTTAATATTTAATTCCTAGATACTGGAATGGCCTATCATCATGTAATTCTGAAAAAAATCCAGCATCTTTTTAACTTGTCCAGAAGTTTTTCATTAATCTGAGAGAACTTAGCTGCATCTAGTGAATGTCTATGTTTTGGTTATGGATATTAAGGGAGGGGAAAAAGTGTTTATAGAGGGCTAGGCACTGTACTGAAAAGTTTCAAATTGGTGAACATTCCAAGAAAAGGGAATGGATAGAAGGAATTCTTCCTTATCCTTTTGACCACATGGAAAGAATACATTTTACTTCAGTGTTTTCTCAAAACTGAGTGGAAATAGTTTCTGGGAGATGAGTCAAAGCATCTTAGAGAGAAAAGATATTTGAATAGAGGAAGGTAACACTGCCTTAGTTTGAAGCAAAGTTTGTCTCATAAGTTAATTAAGAAATTTACATGTAAGAAGAGAAGCTGCTGTCAAGATCAGGACAAACTAGGACATGAAAAGTTTTTAAGGAGACTCCTCAGCAGTTATGTCCCATAATATCCATGCCTTTACAATAGTGCAAAATGGATAATCTTTTTTCTTCAATTAAAATCGATTGGTATTTCCACCCTTATAGTACTTGTGAAAAATTGTGTTTATCACACTTACAGTACTCTTTCTCTGGTAAGTGGGAGTGGAAACCTATTTTGTAGTTTTTAAAATTGTTTAGTAACTGTTAGAGGTGGGAATAAAACTTAAAAACTCTGTGGTATCTGATGTCATTTTCAATTATACTTTTTCATAGATGTTAAAAAGTTTACATTTTGTTAACCTAGAATAAAATGAGACACTAATTTGTTAAGGTAGTTTCATAATGCAAAACTGTGAAGATTTTAGTATTTATCATGATGTTTATTATTCTTTATTGTGGACGCTATATTGGAAGTGTTTCTGATTTCAGTTTTCATGGTTTTCACTGAAATCAAATGGCAACTTAATTTCATAGATGAAATTAAGAACTGTTGAGATGGCTTCTTAGATATTACTAGTTGTAGGTTGTTCTAAATATTTATCACTGCTCTTGAGAAAATGCGTCATATAACCTCCTGTGATACTCTAAGTCTGTATTTATTAAACTCTCAGGTAGCTGAGAGCCTCTGTTCTCCCATAAAAATAATTTTGTTCCTTAATGGAGAAGACTTATCTCTGTTAATGACCCTTTTCTTGAGTATTGTGATGTTATCTATTTCCTTTGGGTAAGAGAGAAGGGCCTTGAACATCTAAATTAAATCATAGTTGCCTTTAAAAAGATCATGTGTACTCAGTCTAATGGTTTTCATCTCTTATTTGTTTAGACACGTACAACTCACCATTGAACCAAAATACTTCTCTACTTGACCTCTGAGAAATAAGGGCATAGCTGCATCCTGTAATCAAGGAGTTTATGTATGCATATTTCTCAGTGCCAAGCAGAAATAAACAATCTGATTTCTGGAGCTATATCATAAGGAATAATAAACAGCTTTCTTACTGAGAATGCTGTGGTTAGGATGATTTTTGTTAAGTTTTTTTGTCTCTGTTCAGAGTTATTACATGATGTAAATCTACTTGGTCTACTTAAGTCTTGTATGTTTGGATTTTCTTTCCAGTTGTTCAAGTGTAAGATGTTGGCAGTTCTAATAGGAAACTTCATTTCTCAGAGTTGCAGTAATGGAGGAGCAAGTTTTCTTTTCTGAAGGCCTGAATATGAGAGAACAGAGGTCTGACAAAGGATCCTGAGACAAAGCTATTGATAGATGTTTCTATGGTAGATTTTACATGAGTAACCTCCTAGAACTATATACATAAATATGTTTAAGCATGTGTTTATTAGGTACCTTCAATTAAGCGTATAAGTATGGTATCTTTTGCTCTTATAATGAGTAAAAAGTCCCTTAAATATTTTTTCTCTGCATTGTAGAATTTTTGGTATCAATTGGTTGAAATATTACAACTTTTTTGAAAGGTTTTACTGAGGAAGAAAGAAGAGAAGAAAGTACTGGTCTTGCCTGGCAGGGCTGATGCATGGGCTGACTTAGTAAGTTTGAGCTGTTCTGAGGCAGGCTTATGCAAGACCTATATCTGTGTCTTTGCAGAACTGGTGGTGAGGTAGGAAAATAATAAATACTTGTTAATTGCATGTGCTGATGAGCTGCTGGAGACTGAAGCAAATGTTGTTTGGGTAGGTGGATGACTTCACTTACTGGGGCTTTCAGGCAGAAGGTTCCATGATATAGTTAATCATGACACTAAGAACTCAGGGCAAGCAGTAATTCCTCTGTTTTGGCAAATTTGAAATAAAGTGATCTCTTAGAATTCAGTTTCCAGGTTCAGAAGCATAGTCCATTGTGAAGGTGGTTGTTGAAAGACTGTGATGAACCTTTGCCTACCTCTTCCTTTGCAGATACCGCACCCCAAGATACACAGATTATGAAGATCTGGAGCGTAAATACTGGAGGAACTTGACTTTTGTGGCACCAATTTATGGAGCAGATATCAATGGAAGCATTTATGATGAAGTATGCATAGCTTTTTATGAAGTTTATGTCTTCCAGCCCTCTTTTAAAGGGTACTGTACTTAAAGGATACAGTCCTGTTTTGTGACGGAGAATCTGTCTTTTGAAATCTTTGTGTTACTCACTTTAAAGACTCCAAGAAAGGCTGAAATTAACTCTACACCTGCAAGAGTCAGACAGTTCTGTCTTTAGACGGTAGAATATTGCTACTCTTCCAGATCATGACTCCTCCCTTTCTTCACTTTGAACTCTCCAGAACTTTAACATTACTTCCTACTTATTTATTTGTTTATTAACATTTTAGTATGTGTATTTTCTGTGTGCTTATGTGGAAATTTAGAGATATTTTAAATAGCTTTTACTTTAAAATTAAAAGATGAGATACTTTTATTTCTTCCTCTTTCACTGAGTAATATGATTAATAATTGTACTTTATACATGCTTGGAATGCCTGCAGTTTCCTGGAAATGTGCTTATACTTACTGTTTACCTTTCAGTTAAAACAGACAAAATTGAAATTTCCTAAGGAAATGAATTTTGCTGGTTACTTACCAAGATCTCTATGGATAATAAAGGGACTCTTAACACAAATCTCATTATCCAAAGAATTACACAATAGTCATTGCTATCTGTTAGGCTGTGTAAGTAACGATGGGAGCTAGATTTTGAAGGGATTATTTAAGTAATCAGACTAACAGAAGAAATGTTAGCATTTCAGAAAAAAAATGAGGATTTAAAAAATACAGGCAAACTTTTATTAAAAGAATCTACCATGTGTGGAGTTCTTGATGTTCTATGTAACTGCTTTCTCCAATTGTTTAAAAAAAAGGAGTATGATTTCCCTGTGGCAGATGGTCTGAGGCTCTACTAGTATTTCACATTTCTTCACAGAAGACAGATTACTTGAGAACTGTCCAAAGATAAATATGGTCAGCCAATATGGCTGAAGGCAATTCAATTTTTGCACTGAGTATGTGATCTTTGAAACATAGCTATAGATTTCCAGTGGTCTGTTGTTTAGAGAAAGTAGCAAGTCCAAATTTTATTGTGTGTCCAAATAGCTATTTTAAAAAATAAGTTAGAGAATAATTGAAGATTCTGATTTGGAATGTTTTGTGAAGAGACATTCTAGATGGCTGTTGCTTTGTAAAGACTGAAATAAGGCACAGAAAAACAGTCTTTGTTTCAAGAAATAGAAGTTTGCTCTTTTTCTTCTCTGATTTTTTTTTTCTTATACTTATGGTATAACTTTTTACAAATTTATGCTTTGTTTTGATTTTGTTTGCTTTCGTCTTCAGTATCTTAAGTTTACTGTTGCATGAGCGACATTTCCAAAGAAATAAATGCAGTAACGTCCAATTTGGAAATGCTGACTGGTCAAAGAGAAGGTCAGAGATTTCATTCTCATGGAGTTGCACTCATTAGATTGGGAAGCTGAGGAAGGGAGGTCAGCAAAAAAAGCAAATGGGTAGGTGAGAAGGGCAGCATTCAGAGATCCTAACTCAGATGCTACATGCATAGGAGAAGGAAATGAAGCACTGAAATGAAGCTGCAGAGAGTGGGGAAGAAAGCAATAAAAAGTAGACTAAAAAAACGTTGATGCATGTGATAAAATGGGTACTATTTAAATATATATAACAAAAGAGAAATGTTAGCGAAAGGAATTGACATTGAGGAATGTGAGCAGACTTGAGCAGTTAATGTCAGCCACTGTGATGGTATACAGCCCAGTGGTGTATAAAGGAAAAGAAGGAAAAAAACTCTGATACCAAACTGTTGGTGAGAAAGTTACAGTGCCACTGATCAAAATGTTGTCTTAGAATAATTTTGCCACAGTTACTTTTTGACCAGCAGATGGTGTACTTGCACAACTAATATTTTTCATGTCTAAATGCATGAAGATAGTGCTAAGAAAGGATCTTCTTGATTCTGTTTGAAATTAGAGATTGTTCTTATGTTTCGTTCAGTTTCCTTCAGGATTGTCATTATTTGTGGAAAGGAGATGAATACAAATTACTGACATTTTGGGCACCATATGGCAAAAAGGGAATGATAGGATTAATTTGTCATAGCAGCCTATTTGCGAGAAACAAAACAAATGCATACTTTCTACAAAATGCATTTTAAAGAAAAAAGTTTGTTAGAGATGTTACATTTAAGGTAAGTATCTGACAGAGTTCTAGGTAGAAAACCACAAGGAACTTAGTGAAAATGTGGTTTATATGTCTACATGGGTCATCAAAATCAGTGAGAAATACTGCTGTGCTGTAAATCTGTATTCTTCAGTTTAACAATTTACAAATTACATTTTCTTTTCCATTGGTGACAGTCAATTTCATATTGAGACATCTATATCTGAAGCATGATGAAGCCTTAATTTTTTACTATTAGTATTATTTAAGAAACATACTCTTGCTTGTGAAATCCAGCACTTTGCTTGCATTGTGCCAGAGAGATCATAGATCTTGTAGTATTTGATTTTTTTAAAACCAGAGGATGACAGGTTCTGAGGGGGTTGGAAGATGGGGCAAAGTTATAAAACCTGCGTTACATGGAACAGAAAAAGAACTCACAAAATAAATAAAACCCAAATAAAAGAAGAACAAAGCTATCAATGCATGCTTTGAAATTTGACAATTACCATCAATGATTTAAAGTTTACCCTTGTGATATTTGAATTATTTCAGAATCTCTGTTATTTATTTAAAATATCTTATTTGACATCTTTGAACTCAGATTAAGTCTTTACAAATAAGGAAATAATCTATGAGAACAAGTGTTCTGTGCACTCTATAGAGCTTTATAGAAAATAAAGTCCAGATCAAGGTTTGCTTGAAATATTATTCTGTCCTGTATGCATTCTAATTGCTGTTACATTTAATTGCAGTGCTTTGTAGGATAATGACAATGTGACTCCAGAAAAAGCACGACCCCTACATTGACTGATCTAGCTACTAGGTGGGGAAAATCTTCCTAGTTTCAAAGTTCCAAAGAAAAGTGACTGATTTGAAGTTTATAATGAATCAAGTCATAAAACACATCTGACTTCGGTGCTGACAATTGCATCTGCTATTCCGTAGAGAAAAGCCAAGTTTAGAAGAAGCACATAAAAATATTGTTTTGTGTCTCTCTCACGACTCAGCTGCTGTCTTGAAGATAGCACTTTACTTCCATTTTTCTTCTTTTAGTTTTATTTCTCCCGATAACACAACTTCTAGTGCCTACCTTCTCCCATATATAAGGTATGGGGAGCATATTTGATTAATAATACAAGTGATTGATTCAGTGGAGTTTGTAGGCTAACAGTTGGTTATTTTTTCTAAATTGTAGGTACATCTCTAATGTGTTACTTGCTCTAGCAACAGATGTACTTGAATTTCCTACCATATCCCTCGACAGAGTAGCCAACTTGATTTTAAAGCAGCACCTTGACATTATGTGTAGAATTTGGATTCTAAATGAGTTAGGGATGGCACTTGGGTTGTAGCTAAAACTAAGGCTGCAGGAGAGCAGCAGGCATAAGCAGTCCAAGAGTCTTTGGAGAGCATCAGTAACAACTTCCTGACCAAACCTGTCTGCTGGATCTCTCACAAACAAGAAAGGATTTGTTGTGGATGTGAGTGTCGAGGGCAGCTTTGGCAGAGTGACCATGAAATGGCAGGGTTTGAGATCTTAAGGGGACATGTCAAGGCAAAAGGCAGGACCACAACCCTGGCTATCAGGAGAGCAGACTTTGGTGTCTTCAGTGATCTCCTTGTTAGAGTCCCAGTGGATAAGGCCCTGGAGGAAACAAGGGCCCAGCGAAGCTGGTTGGTGTTTCACCACTTCTAAGCTCAAGAGTGGTCCTCCTCCCACCAGGAAGTCAGGAAAAAATGCCAGAGGTCTGCATGGATGAACAAGGATCCTCTGACAGAACTCAAGCATTAACAGGAAATACCCAGGAGCTAAAAGCAGTTTGTGAAGAACTGTAGCCAGTGGGAAAGACTCACATGGAGAAGTTTGTGGAGGACTGTCTCCTGTGGGAGAGACCCCATGTTGGAGCAGCGGAAGAAGTGGCAGAGGCAATGTGGGATGAACTGAAAGCAACCTTCCTTCTCCATTTCCCTGAGCTGCTTGTGTGGGAGGGGGGGATATAGGATAGGGAGCAGGCGTTGGGTAGAGAATTCTGGAGTGCAATTGAGATAGGTCTACTCTTCTACTCTTTGCTGGGTTAAAAACTGTATGGTCAGGCCCAGAGGGTGGTGGTGAATGGAGTTAAATCCAACTGGGGGGCAGTCACAAGTAGTGGCACCTGGGGTCATTATCAGGGCCAGTCCTCTTTTATGTCTTTTTTGATGATCTGGACAAGGGGATCAAGGGCACCCTCAAGTCAGTTTGAAGATGACACCAAACTGGGCAGGGGTGTTGCTCTGCTGGAGGGTAGAAAGGCTCTGCAGAGAGATCTGGACAGGCTGGATTGATGGTCTGAGGTCAATAGGATGAAGTCCAACAAGGCCCTTGGGTCACAGGAACCCCAGACAGTGGTACAGTAGGAGTGGCTGGAAAGCTGCCAGGCAGAAAAGGACCTGGACAGCGGCTGAACATAAGCCAGCATTGTGCCCAGGTGGCCAGAAAGGCTGATGGTATCCTGGCATGCATCAGCAATAGTATGTCCTGCAGGACCAGGTAAGTCACTGTCCCCCTGTACTTGGTACTGGTGAGACCACACCTCAAATCCTGTGTTCAGTTTTGGCCCCTCACTGCAAGAAGGACATTGAGTTGCTGAAGCATTTCAAGAGAAGGGCAACAAAGCTGGTGAAGGGTCTGGAACATTAATCCTATGAAGTAACAAGCAACAGGACAATAGGAAACTGTCTCAAGTTGTGCCAGAGGGGAAGATTACCTTGGAATTTTAGGAAACATTTCTTCAAGGAAAGGATTACTAATCACAGGAGCAGAGTGCCCAGGGAAGTGGTTAAGTCACCATTCCTGAGGATATTTAAAAGACCCATAGGTATGATGCTTAGGGACATGGTTTAGTGGTGGCCTTTGCAGAGCCAAGTTAATGATAGTTCTTGATGACTTTCAAGGTCTTTTCCAACCTAAATGATTCTGTGATTCCATGATGTCCTTTCTCTGTGGTCTCCTCATAGTTGAGATCACTGTGAGCAGTCATTAAGATGTTTGGTTCTACCCTGCATTTCCAAAGAATCTACTTGCCCACCCTTGAAAAGGGTGCTGCAAAATCAGTGGTTATATCCTTAAAAATGCTGAGAAGAAAACAGATATAATGAGGAGATTGATTGTATTTCCTAATCTATGTGTTTATGGTGCAGAGATTCTGTTCGCAGCATTTTTCTTTCTGTATTTTAACGACTTTGAAAGCACAGTAAAAACCTGGCAGTTTATTATATTCATTGGCGTGAGTGAATGATTGTTTGGAGTGAGGAGTGGTTTACCAAGCACAAATTTTTCTGTAATGTTTCTCCTACTCCTTTCCACTCTGTCTCTTAAATTGTTTTTTTTTACTCTTCTTTATTATTTGAGCTATCATAGTGAGTCATAAGGGCTTTTTAATCTTACTTGTACAACTGATATCTTGTTTGCTAGATTAATTTTTCCTGTGATAATTTCATGGTTTCATTTCAATATTAAACACTGAAAAAAGACTGTGTGTAATAACATATACATACAGAAATCGTGTTCTTAAAAATAGAATACATCACAGTCTTAGCTGATTTGTTTAAATAAAGTACAAAGAATAGCATCATGTCACTTTTGTAAGTACTTCTAAAAAAATGAAATTAATAAAAAATCATTGCATTTGGAGCCTGTTTTATTCTTATGTGCAAAGAGGTCTCTGCTTACAACCCTGAACTTCACTTTTTACCAGTATACTGAGATTTAGATTACTCTTTGTCTTTGAAAAAACAATGGGTCAGCTCCTTCCAAACTGTGCAAGTGTTCAGATGAGAATTTATTGTCAAGTGTCCCACTTTATCTCCATGTTGTGTTAAAAGCAGATGCAAAAGCTGTTAAGAGCAATAAAAACTCTAGATAGTAATTTACAGTAAGTTTGAATCATCTTCAAAACTAGTGAATATTGGAATAATGGTCTTCTGTATGGACCACTATTTACCTTATAATATTTCTCTCAGGAAATACAAGGTAAATGTAGTATGTGTAGCAATGATGACAATTGGTAAGGTGTTTCAAGTCAATTTAAAGAAAGTAAAATATGTTGTTTTCAGCTTTTTTCCAGATATTGGGTTATATCACTTGTCAATGATGATAGGTATTCTTTAAAGAATCTACCATTAGAAATGTGGATAAATTAGAAATATTATTGTTACACATTCTCTTGAAATTATTATGATATTTGAATATAATTGTGATATTTTGAGCAGAATAAATATTTTATATTTTCCTAACATTGAATAGTTTATAATGTCTGAATGTATTTGTAAGAAACTACCAGATACACCTCATGGTCAAGTGCTATATGTACTGATGTTCTAACAATGGTTATTAAACATAGCATAACCTGCTAAAATACACTTTAATTTTGAGAAGTATTGCTATGTATTCACCTGTTAAACTGCTCTTTTACAGCAGCGATCCTTTTAGTGTGCATTGTGATTGTTAAGTCTGAAACCAGTTATATAACTACTGGAAAAGTTAGAACTGATATTTTACTTAGAAAATTGTGTAAGCATTAATGTTTTGGAATATTAAAAAAAGAGAGGTCTGTGAGGTAAAGAAACATATTTAATAATTATTTGTGATAATTATATAATTTAGGCATAAATATAAAATTGATTTAATTTTTTAAGTTCAAGGAATTAGGAGTGGAAATGAATCAGTGTGACTTTAGTGTTTCAGCCAGTTTGAATGACTATTTCCTTTTTAGCTAAGAATACTTGTCCAAAATAGTCTGTAGGAGAAGGAAATAGCTCATGTATCTTGTGTAGAAGTTGTGGATTGTTTATTTGGTATGTTTGGTATTTTGAAACAAGCTATTTGTCCTATGATTGGTCTCCATAGGATGATTTGCTTTTGTTTTAGGACAAACCATTAGCAGTTTCCTGCTAGTTGTGATACGTCTTAACAGAATGTGAAAACATGAGATGTGTCATTAAAAAAGTAATTTATTCTCCTATCTATTACTTAATTCTTAGTAATAGAAGACTCAGATTTCAGGATGTTATGGTTGCTAAGAGCTTACATGTGTGAAAGGATGTGATGGGATAAATAATAGGTAAAAAAGCCCATGGGATTCTGTTAAGTAGAAAGGTAACACCTCTGTCTGAAGAAACCTTCAAACTGCAAATTGCTGCGGGTTGTAAGGGTGTTCTGGGGAAGTACTGCTTTACTTATGCTGTTTCCTGTCTACTTTTGGCCACTGTCAGAGTAGACTGCCTAGATTAACAGTTGATTTTTATGAGTAAAAATGCTTTCTTCCAATCCTCTATATGTGCCTACATGATCCAGTCATTGCTCTTAGTTTGGTGAATTAATTTGTATCTCCAAATGGACTGCACAATTTGTAAAGGGAGAAAAATTGTATGTGTTTTTAAAAAAATAAAATTTTAAACTGATATGAGGACTTGTTAAAGTTGTTTCTTCAAACAAATATTTTATTTTACAGGTCTGTTAACTTGCTGCTGCTGGTTTTTATATTTGAAAGGTGCAGATTGTACCAACATCTACTGTTTGAGTTCATATAAGTGTTTTTTTCTTTTATCATATGAATTTTATAGTTTTTTAATTTTAAAATTTCAGGTGCCTTTATGTTTAACAAATACGTCAAAGCCAAGACTTCAGTTTTAAAAGAACAAAAATTACTGTCTGTAAACATCCTTTACTCCGTTGACTGTTTCACTTAATAAGTGAAATAGTGGTAGAGGCAGTCAGAAGTGCCTGTTCGATAGCAATTCTGAGCTTCATACAGACATTACCTTCTTATATATCAATTCTAGTTGCTGCATACTTAACATGCTTGACATAAAAATCTCAAAAAATGAGGAAATGAAAACTGAGAGTATTAAATTTTCATTACTTCTTGCTTTATCCTATATTCTTACTCCTCCAGCTGTCCAGCTATTGAATGTCATCATGTTACTTAGCCTTAATCAGATGCATCGGGTTTGCAGTCTGCCATCAGTTTATTTCCCACTGAGTAAGGTTACCAGAACTGAAGGTTCAGTGCTGGGTGGTGTGCAGAGCAGCTTACGGTTAAGGGTATGCTTAGAGGCTGTCTTTCCAGGAAAACTTGCCTGAATTGAGTTTTTAATAGTTTTGATTATATTTCTTGGTTTTCTTACTGCTTGAGCACCTGCTAATGTCTTCCCTAGAGGTGCTAATAATTGCTGTTATAATGAAGTCTAATCTTTTTCTCTTCAGTTTTGTAGCTTTGATCTTGGTTATACTGTCTCTTACATGCTGTATTACCTGGAATTAGAATTGCACTTTGCGGTTGAATCTGAAATACAACAAAAACCACTTGCATTGCTTTCTGAATGACTTTTAATGTACAGATTTTATGGGCAATAATGTAAGGAAACAGCTTAAATCCCAGGAAATAATAGATTTCTGCAGTACATCATTATGATTAGAAATATATCTGAAGTGATATAATCATTTTATCTTTGTATACTTTACAGAGAGATGGTAAATTTATGCATGTAAAATAAATTTTTAAATCATTTTGCATGCTGTTTGGTATTACTTTTTAAGTAATAAAAAAGCATAGATAGGCCCAATGAAATTTAATGGCTTCCAGCTATCAACTCATCAAAGATTTTGTCTACAGCTGTTATTTCTATTGTGTATGGTGTTTTAATCCATGTTAGATTTGATGTACTAAGTGTAAATCAGATATGAACTTCCTTATATTCTCTGCCCTGAACATCTCAAACTTATGACCTGATCTAAAACTTACTAAGGTCAAGAGAATTTTTCTTTGAGTAACTTCAGCTATCTTCTCGAATGCTTACAAATTTGTATGAACATACAGTCTTTTGAAGGGCTAGGTCAGGTGTGTATTTTTTGACTGAGACTATTATATAAAGTTGCATTGCTTGATATATACTGAACTTGATATATATACTGAACTGATCAGTATATTTATTATGTATCTCTTTCAGGGTGTTAAGGAATGGAATATTGCCCATCTTAATACAATATTGGATGTTGTAGGAGAAGAGTGTGGAATTTCTATCGAGGGTGTAAATACACCATATCTGTATTTTGGCATGTGGAAAACGACATTTGCATGGCACACTGAAGACATGGATCTCTACAGTATTAATTATCTCCATTTCGGGGAGCCAAAGTCATGGCAAGTTTAAATTTTTATGAAAGATGATATCTCAGCTGACTAAACCATCTGTTGATGGGGTACAATTGCTTCACAATGGTAAACTTTACTGAAAAGCTAAGATAGTAGTTTTGTGAGGGGTTTTTTTAAGCTCAGTACTATGAAATATGTGAGGTTGGTGATGAACATCACACCAACGCAGTCTTTGATTTTTGAGGAAAAAGACAGATAAGTACATAAGGCTTATTGGAGTTCAACAGAAAAATATTTTAAAGATCCAACATAGGAAGCTTAAGGAGTTGGGAACCCCAAGACTACTTGAGGAACTTCTGAAAGAGCTCTTTGGTTCAGTTACCCTTTGGGACTGCATAACATGTTTTGTATTAAACATGCCTTTAATTACATCTTTGAATCAGAGTCATTCTCTAATGTGAACTTGGTAGGACCAGTAGAAGGTAAGATCCAGTGTTAAAGGTACTTCCTGTGTACAAAACTTCTACTGTCCTTTCTCTGTAATCTTAAATTTTTGGTTCAACAACTGTAATAGACAAGCTGGTTTAATATTACACGTACCAGTTGTGATATACGTGTATCCAAAGTATTTGAGAAGAATGTTTTCTATTTGATCATAAAATCTTTTTTCTTTTTTTCCCCTCAAAACCCCTGTGAAGAGAACATAAAATCATTCGAAAGATATATAAAAGATATGTTATATATCTTTCTAATGATTTTAGTTCAGTTCTGGGGTTTTCTAGTCATTGAAACTTGGGTGGAAAATTTGTAGCTGGTAATTCTATAAAACATTATTTGTATTTTTATACCCATATAAAATAAAAATACTTGTGTAACATGATGTATTTATACTCTGAGGGTGGTAAGTTGGTCAGATGCTGCTTCTTAGGTAATTGCTTTAAGTTGATCTGCTGTTACAGTGGGTCTCTTGAGTAAAGGCAGTGAAGGTGGATATCACCTGTTGTGGTAAAATGCAGGTCCATTTTGAATTGATAAATGTGAAATTGCTGCTTTGATAGAATTAGCCACACTAAGGAAGTCTTAACCATGAGATCAGTATTTTTGATAAAAATCAGTGTAAAGATAGGTAATTCCAAAATGTTCTAAGATGATAGGACACATTTAACTAATACAATGATTGCATGAATTTTTTTTTTTGCTTCTTAGGAATCTGAAAAGTGCTGTTTGAAGAAAATCTCACTGCATATTGTGAAATTCCTGGAGTAGAGACATTTACTTAAACCCTAAAGTCCTTAGGCATAATGGAAAGAAGATAGGAAATCTTCTTTTCTTTAAGTATTTTGAAGGAGGTGTGAGTTGATAATTGCTTTTCTAGTTTACAGATGCTTGTTTACACTATGAATGAACAAAATCATTAAACACTGACCTCTTCACCTCTGAAAAAATAACAGTGGATATAAATTAATTTTCTGGGCCACATTGGCCCATATTTTTAGGAAATGCAGCACTAAACGAAAATTGAATGAAAGACAACTAAAGATTTGATTTACACATGTGCCTTTACTGTAGGAATGCTGCAATAATTTATGCTGAAGCTGCTCATTTATCAGTAAAATGTGTCTTTTGTAAATGTGATATTAGTATAATGTTTTCTTCAAGAAAGTTGAGCATGAGCTGAATCTTAGGATATATATAGTAAAGATCTTGTCTGCTCTTAAATTTGAACTGATTTGACAAATGCATGCTTAGTAAAACCAAATAAGCTGACATGTACAGTAATATTAATTTTCTAGTTTTAGTGGGCGTACATGTTGTTCTTCAAGAACATACTGGTCTTTTGGAGAACTAATATGCAGTGTACTTTCTCTGAGTTGTGAAAGGACAACCACTTCTATCTGAGAGCCACAGACAGAACTTGTGGGTAGCAGCTAAATCTAACTGCTCTGGCAGTTTTTATGGAATGGAAGCTTTCTCCAGTGTTTAGGTATAGATTAACTTTCATTACTTACACTCTACACTTCCAGGAGGTATGTAGAGAAATCTGTAGTTTTATGTTATGTATACTGATTCCTTCATTAACTGCCTCAGATGAAACATGGGGGAAAAGTGTGTCTGATTAAACACTTGCAAAATCAGGACTAGGGCTGTTATTGTGTTTATGTATATATTTGTGTAATATATATGTTTTATAGATTCTTTAACTTGCAAAATAGTGCTACTGAGGGGAAATTAAAGGAGAGAAAAGAACTTAGAAGCTCTGAAACAGATTAATATGAGGGCAGAAGAGAGTGGAAGATTTGCTGGAAAGTAGAATAGAGACAATTACAATTGCCATTAGGCAGAATTTTTACTGCAATTTTCCTTTTGCATTTTTTTTTCTGAGTTGAAAAATCTTGAAGATGGTACCTCATTTTACATCACAGTTTCTTAGAAAAGGTCTTATTAGGAAGATGAACTATTGGTGTGATTGATGATCTACTTTATTAATTCAGTTATTTTTTGATATGATGTATTATGTAATGGTATCTGTGAACTGCTTATTAGTATTAAAAATGTCTTCATTCTGGCATTTGTTATTAAATATTTTCTTTTGGAATTATTGTTTTGGGGGTATAGGCCCTGACTAAAGAGAATTTATTTTTGTTTTGTGTACTAATTTGAGGAATTTTGTAATGTTAAACTATTCAACTCCTCCTGCAAATTCATGCCTAGCATAGAGCAGAATTTTGTTAGTAGTTCAGATGTTAGACTATTAGTATATGTACAATATCCTTGGTTAAAATACAGATAATGCTTCAATTTACATTATAAATTTTTAAATTAAAAAAATCTGAATTAAAAATATTTTAAAAAAAGTAATTCTGGGTTTATTAAGTATCTGAAAGTAAGGCTTACGCTTTGTGCCAATTACCTCACGAAAAACAGTGGTGCTAAATGTTTTTAAGTGTTAAAATGACGTAAATCTTCTTGAAGAGTATTAATAATGAATATGTGGAAGTATTTCTTAAGCAGGCACAAAATAATTATTTTCATGGTACTGTGGGTATTTCAAATATAATAATAATTAGACTAACTTATTTTAAAAAAAAATTTAAAGAAGAGTAAAGATGTGTAGAGGATATATTGTTTTACTATAGAAAGTAATATTTTAAAAAATTGTTCTCATTTTTTTCCACCTTTTATATCTGAGGGTGGAGGCCTGAACTCTTTTCTGCATGAAGAACCAGAGTTTTTTACTTACCATTGAGAGGGGCACAATATAAACTTGCAGTATGTAATAAAATATTATAATAAATAATAATTTATGTATCAGTTTGTATGTTTTCTGTGACATTCCATCTGGTCTTCACTCTAGCTTTTCCAAAGACTGGAAATGACAAGGCACAATATGTTATGTTAAAAACCCCTCCTGTTTAGTAAGGTATTTCATAAATCACAAAATGCCTTGCAGGGCTGGTCAGTCATAAAGTAAATGAGAATATATACTACAGAAAGAGAAGATGATTCCGTCTTTGTGACGATGTCAAGAAAAAGTGACTAGATTGTTGAAGAGAGAATGCTTAGATAGCCAAAATTAGATGGATTAGGAGAGTGAGACTGTACTCCACAATTTCTTTAGGTTGTAAGAGGGAATGGTTCTGTGGTGACATTCAGAATAAAGCAGGGATTTAGGTTCAGGAATTCTCTTTGTGATTTCAGTGGGTATAGGATGGTGAGAAATTTGATCTCCAGGTTGCCTAGAATTTATACCATGAGCAACATTATTGCCACCTCTTGATTGCCATGACTAATCTGCTTTTATGGATTTGCCAGTGTTGAATGTGTACCAACATCATTTCATGAAGTGGAAAAATCAGGAAAGATAGATAGTTGCATGGTAGGGGGTGTGGGAGTCTTTAAAACATGATTTCGTTTCAGATTTTGCATCCCAGTAGCAGAAGAGATAGAAATGGGGTTCTGAGTATGATGGGATAAAAATGGGTGGTGTTCTGATATTGGTATTACACAAAATTACAGACAAAAATGGTGAAGAAAGAGAAGCATACTCAGACTGATGCTAACATTGTAGAAATTGAGAACAAATATGGCACTAAAGTAAAGGATTTAAAGAGACTCAGCTAGGTCCTTACAGGGTCTTCTGGGTAGGATTAACAGGACTTTTAGTGTGATCAGCAGTTGACAAAAACTAGTTAAAATCTGGACAGGTGATTAAAAACTTTATGTAATGGTATCTGTGAGCTGCTTATTAGTGTTAAAAATGTCTTCATTCTGGCATTCATTGTTAAATAGTCACACTTCTTGCTGCAAATTGTCATAAAAGTTAGAAACAAGAATATTATGGGTCACAGAGATGACAGTAGCCAAATAAGGATTCTGATTGTAAAAAGGCAGCTATAATCAAACAGTATAGTGATTTGTCAGCATCCTGAAAGGGTTATTGTGCTTGAAACTGAGCAATCGTTTGATAGTTGCAGTTCTCCATAAAAAGGAGGAACTTTGCTGAGGGATTAGAAGAAAAAGAGAGGTTTTGTTTGTTTTGTTTTTCCCCTGTGGAAAAAAAATACAAATCTGCAGGAAAAATCAGGGGGTGTTACCCTGTCATTATATAACATGGACTTTAGTGAAGCAGTTTTGGTTAAGTATTTAACATAATGCTAAATTTGCTTGTAGCTGATGCTGTTAATTATTATCATTGCATGCATGTGGCTTAGGAAAAACAGAACCCAAATTGTTCCTCATTGAGTTTCTGGTCACTGATACGAGAATGATTGGATGAATACAAGTGGCTTCTGCTATGATGACCATCTTGGTTGGCTGAGTAGTTTTTGCACGGTAAAGCAATGATTTGTTGTTTTTGGTGTGGTTATTTAAAGTATACAGAGAAATAGTGTAGAAACATTAATCTTGAGAACATATACATAAATGTTTAACAATTACAAGTTAATGGCTTAGATTTAATATTTATTTCTTATTTGTAGTTGTCTTGTCACCAGTAGCCTTGATTTACTGAACTAATATGTATTTCAGAAGATCTTTTTGAACGATCCTCGACAAATATATGTACCATATTTTTTCTGTCCTTGTAGTATGACTAGTGGTGAACAGCAACTCTTCAGCTTCTGTCTTTTCATACTATTTAACAAGTATGTCTTCCTGAACTAATAAAATTATAGTTAGCATCAACATTTCCTTTTTTGTCTTTTCTTGCCTTTTTGTCTGTTTCGTCGCTTGCTACCCAAGAAAAACTCTCTTTGCCTCTTAGTGATTTACCTTTTAATGTCCATTACATTTGCTTTTAATTGGGCTGGGCTTGGCCTTAAGATATGAGAAGTCAAACAGATGGTAATGTAGCTAAAAGAGAGCTGGACACAAGATGACAAAAAATATTTTTCTATAAGCTTTTAACTGCTCAAATTCTCATATAAGCTAGGTGTTGAGACTAAGAGTGAATACATTTTTCCTCTGACTTGGTCGTCTGAGTTTGGGGTTTTTTTGTTTAATGTACAGTAGACCAAGAATCCAGCAAGAGTCATGTCACTCAGTTTTCTAATAAATTGTGTTAGGAACCAATCCCAAAGTGTCTCAAGTGTGACTTTGGGACTCCTCATGTCTGATAGTACAAAGGTGGTCTGTCACCATTCATTAGTCCTTGTCTTATCTGTGAGCAACAAGCAATAGCAACAGTGGGAAGAGGTAAAGGATTGAGGAGTAGATGTTACCACAGACCTCAGATGAAGACTGTGAGAAATACCAACTCGCATTGAATGTGTTGTATTGCTTTGTAACTGTAGATTATCTAAATAAATAGCAGTAGTCCAGTTAAATCATGTCCCATCTTATTTTTCCAAGAGACTTATTGAGAGCTCAGTTATTCAGTTTTGCATTTTTGTAATATTGACAAGTACTTACATGCTTATGTGTACAAATGGAGGCACGTGGCTGCATATTATCACTAAATTGTAGTAACACGTACTTTTGCAGGAGAAACTTTTTAGGAAGAATACCAATCCAATTAGAGTCAAGTAAAGCAAAGCACAGCATCCAGTTCTGAATTTTTTTTAAACATAAACACTATCTGTTCATGTTTTTTACTTTATGGTGTTGTGTATTTAATGACATACACTACAGTATATAATTCTGTACATACCATCTTTCTCCATTGAAGTGGGAAAGATGGCAAACATATAGTTCAGATTAGTATGGATACACTGATATGTGTGTAATACAGACTGGAGAACAGTCACAAGCACTTTAGAAGTACAAATGGAGAGAAACAAAATGCATTTTCCGAAGACGGTGAAGTTCTGATTAAAACTGAAAACATGGAGCATAGTCAAACTGAAAGTCTCTGATACTGTGTGAAGTGGGTTTCCAGTAGGGATGTGTTTTGCTATGGTTCAGCTTACAGAACACTGACTCCTGTAGTGGTTTTCCTTCCATGCAGCTCTTTCAGTTGTAATAGAGTAAAATTGTAAAATTGTATTGTGTGTGCAAAACAGAGCTTGAGGTAGAGGGATGTTTATTTCTTGTGCGAAATGAGGGCCCTGGGTCATTCACTTGTTTTTCTTAGTGAGTTGTCAGGGGAGATGAATGAAACGAGTTCACAGTGTAGTAAGAGAAAAAGGTTCTATGTTGACTCAGTTTAACAATGTGGATTTGGACTGTGTTGTACAGCTGAATATACATTTTCTTCTTTTCTAAACCATATTTTTTTATAGAAAAGAATCAGTCTAATGCTATTGCAATATTAAACTAAAACAAAATTCTATTATATCATATATTAAAGTAGTTAAAGTCAATAATTCTACTTAAAACATACTGTATATCTAGGAAGTGCAGTAAATATGTTAATAGTAAAGAAAAGCAGAAAGGAAACTACTTTTACAGTAGTTTTCTATTGTTTGGCTTCAGTAAACATGAAAAATAACATGAGGTTTATTCAATTTCTTTTGTATTGTTACTGAGTTGTTGCAGATAGCATATGGAATTTTTAAAAAATAATTTATTGTAAGAACAGAGGGATTCTAAGATATGTACAATTCTTTAAAGTCTATTTCTTTAATAATCTTAAACTTTAATTGTAATGATTCTACATGGGCAAGTAACCCTTTTATTCCACAGCACTGGCTATAGGAAAATGTAGAGATGTTTAATGATCATATTTTTCTGTTGAATCCTTGTGTCTTTTGAAGCATATTAAAATTCAAAGCAATTAAACTAGTATAAATTAGACTTATTTTATGTGGTTTTGTTTAGTTTGGAAAATTAAAGTATATGTATCTTTTTTAACTGGAGTGGTTTAATAATATGAAATATTGTCAATGTACATGACTTTAAATAGTGACTATAGCATTTTTGAACTACATAATATAATGTTTAAAATAGAAATAAGCTAATATTTTTCTCAAATTAAAACCAAACCCCAAAACCGAACCTCTGTATTTTTAACTTAGATATTGATATATTTTTTTTTCTGTACAGTTTTTCTGTCTTTAATCTTTTTGGCTTCTATATTCTTAGATATTTATCATACATGAGTGATGGCTTTTGTGGTAATTATGTCTTTAAGCATTTCATCCTTTCTTTATGTGAATTTTAGGTATGCTATTCCTCCAGAGCATGGGAAACGGCTTGAAAGACTGGCTCAAGGTAGTAATTTCAATATTTCCATATGTAAGATGTTTGAAGGACAAACATCCAGCAAAGTGAAAAACATTGTCCTTGACTCACCTACTGTGTTTTATTTCTTAATGTTGTGTGACTTTTTATCTGTCTACAGTATTATTGCAAACAAGGAACACTGTGTAGTGCTCTGAGGAATTCTTTAGAAATAAAATAGTGGATTTTTTTTTCTTCTTCCCTTAGAACTTTATTTTGTACTGGAATTTTTAGCTTGGTGAAACTTATGAAAATGAGGCTTACTATTTTGTTGTTCATTAGATTTTCATTGCTAGTATCTTTGTTTCCTCTGTGCCCTTGCTCTTTCTTGTCGTAGCTTCTTTTAGTAACTTTTTGAATCTTAATTTCTTATCGAAATTTGAAATATCCAAATTTGAAGACAGACAAGTCTCCAGAAGGTTTATCAAAGTTAATGACTGGGTAGAGGATGGAGTCTTAGTTAGTACCTCTGCAAAGGGGGAAGCACACGAAATGTACAAACAGTAAATCTTATTTTTTACCAGCTTTCTGACCAGTGAACAAGCATATAAATCCACTTCAGCTAAAGCGTGTACTGGCTTTTGCCTTCCAGAGGTGTTGGGAACATTTTTGAACAACGATCAGGGCTATTGTTGTAAGGTTGAGTTTTAAAGGATAAAAATCGTGAGTCTATAGGAAAATTCTCACACAGTAGTTTTGGTTTACTTTCAATAGTACACCTCTATTTTTGTTTCTAAAATAAGAGAGCAACTTATGAACATGGGAATAATTAGAGATGTTTCTTTGCCTGGGAGCCCATGTTTTATAGCTTGCTATTAACCATAATATGTAAAGAATGCTATTGCACGTTCCTAATAGTTATTGTGTATCAGGACCAAATTCTGCAAATTTTTGTACATTTTTGTTTTTATATTCGTTTTTTTTTTTTGGTATATAGGTGCATGACTGTTTTTCGGAGCTGTTTTAGAACTATTGCTGAGAACAGTAGGAGGGCAGTTAGAGATGTGAATGTCAAGACCTGTGAATTTCCAGTCTTAAAAGCATGTCTCAAGAAAACAGATTTCAACCATTTCCTATTCCTAAATTTTGCCGTAGTTCCATTTGAAAAAGTTGTCCTTTGCTTTCCAGATTCTTTTTCCAATTTGCAAAGTATAGAACTCCTTATACACTTAACGAAGCTTTTGGTTTTCCCTGGTAAACAAATTGAAACATACAGACTGGGCAATGGATGCTGACTTATGATAGGATGATTCAATAATTAAGATTTGCAAGAAATTATAAAAGAGTAAACGGAGTAGAGAATTGGGAAAGTTTAAGACAGGGACACTAGGGCTGGTGAAAAATGGAAAGTCTTAGCAGGCTCAAACAGATGCAAGGAGATTTTTTTTTTTTTCACAGCATTCATTCCTCACTGTCCATGGTGAATTCTAAAATTTTGCATGGCTTCTGGTGCAGTTTGCACAACACTGGCACCTATATTTGTTAGAGGAGCATAGGAGCTGCTGCTGGCTTTGTAAGGTTTGGAACAGCACCTAGTTGGTACTAGATTAGTTAGAGAAAGCAAACTTTTCATGCTGTATGTAAACACTTCTCTGTACATATACATTTGATATTTGATATTTGATGGGAGCAAGATCTTTGGGTAGATAGTCTTTTCATTTGATGTCAAATGCTCCTCTAGTGTTTATTGTGGATTTCATATTGCTTGATTGTAGCTATGCAGTTTTTTAAAACCATTCAATTTTAAATGTCCTGTAATAACACTAAGATTAGCTCCGTTGGTTAGACCGTGGTGGTAATAACACCAGGGTTTTGGGTTTGATCCCTGTATTGGCCACTGACTTATGAGTTGGACTCTATGATCCTTATGGGTCCCTTCCAACTCAGAATATTCTGTGAAATCTGTGAGCATGTATTGAATTTTGTTTTATTTTCAAAGTGAGGGAAGATGATGGACAATTTCAGCAGTGCTTGTTCACTCATTTCTAAAAATGAAGTGGCATTGAGGCATGGCATTGATTGTTGCAGACTAAAGAAACCCTTCAGATTTTTCTTTGAAATACCTTTATTTCCCTAGATATTGGATTAACCCATACAAATTCCGGAATTTTGTAACTTGTGGAGATACCTGTCTTGCTTCATGGAAAAAGAAAGCATCATGTTAGAAAACTGGCCTGAAGGTACTCAGGCCTCTTACTGCTGATAGTGGCCTACAAAAATAATAGGAAAGGAACATAAAGCATGGGGAGAAATGGAAATCTCCAAGCTCACTGTTTTTCAGAAGCCAATAGGTTATATTGGGGGAACAATATCATGTCTTAATGTCCAAATGCTAGAGTCAGAATTGCACAATAGGCTGAATGGGGTTTAGGACTTCAATCTCACCTATTTTTGCTTCATAGCTGTGTTTCAAATAGTAAATAGCAACTAAACCATAGAATCAGATACTGAAAAGTGATGATAAAATTTAAAATAGTGTTTATTCTGTTACACTCAGTGACTGAAACTCGATTGACGTAGGAAAACTACATACTCATACAGAGATTATTTTTGTAACAGCAGTATAAGATAAATGAATTAGGAAATGTTAAAGAGGGTTGGCCATGAAACTAAGTGTTTAGCATTCAGTTTTAATGTCCTCTGGGGTATTTTTCTGTGAATAGATTGTTTTCATGATAATTTGCGTCCAGCTAATAGCTGAGAATGGAATATAGAAGATGATGCTGTAGTACTTAACAGTAAAGATGATGGACCATTTCTTATTATTTCCATGCTGTACCAGTTAAGACCTCTCTGATCTGCTTTGCAGCTGCTGCCTCCTAAAATACAGCCTAAATTTTATACTAAGGTATCTTACAAAGATGAAAATAAAAAGTAAGCTGCGTGGCTGCAAGTCACTTAAGAGCAAACATTATTAAAACATATTATAAATGACACCTTCATACTTAATGACGTGAAAATTGAAAATATTTTTAATCATATTTTTGCATGAGTGCAACATTTGAAGGAAAAAACCCTAATTTTTTCAAGGTTAGCTCTGATGACCAGATACCTACTGAATTAATCAAATGCTCCTAAATAATTAAAATAATAAAATAATACATTAAATGTGACAGGTTGTCTTAAGTCAAGGCAGAAATTGATACATGAAATTAAAGGAAGGCTAGAATATTTTCCATTATCTTGTCTTCACATCACAATTACCACACATGCCTTTTGTGCATGAATGCTTTCATTTTTGCTTTCCATTGAAATCTTGATTGACTGTGGTGCCTACAAATGCTTTATCTGAAAGACATTAGACTTGCATCTAATAAAGACAACAGTTTGATTTTGCCCTTCAGCTGCTTTCTCATTTATGTAGATTTTTTTTTTCAATTTTATGTTGACATAAGTGTAATAAAAATCTCAAGTGAGCTGTTAGCTGCAATTTTTATACTTTCTCTTATGTTAATCTGGAATACTATGGTATTCTTAAGGACTTTTTGTTTCACAAAATGGGTTAGAAAATAAAGAGAATAGAAGCAGACTGCCAAATGAAAAATGACAGTTTGAAGGATTTTGAAGATCTTTTAATAGATCATTTGAGTGCTGAAAACTGTTTTAGAAAGGAGATGACATCTATCTGTGGTGTTCAGTTATGTTAAAGAAGAAACTAAAGTAAAGTTTAATGTATTGTAAGTATATAGGGTTGTTATAAAGAGCTTTGTATGGTGTATAGTATTAATTACTTCATTTCATGCAGAAGTCATTACCTGTTAGGTCTGAAAGTAAATACAAATAATTGTTGAAATGATATTTGAAGCAGAACTTGCATAACTTCTAAGGGTCTTGAATTTGAAAACTCGAGCAGCTGAAGAATTGCATCTTTTTCTCAAAGATATAAGTCCACTTAGGAAAGTTGCATTTAAGAGATAATAAACCTAAATGTATTCATTGAGTGTATTCATCTGGGCATACCGACAGTCATATTTCCTAGCACTTGAAAGCTACTTTTTTGTGGGTTTTGTACTCTGTGCTTTGTATAGCATATGAATTGCCATTGTTTCTTCATGACGATTGTTTTCATGCAGACTTACCTTCCTAATTTCTTTTATGTTCAACACAGAAAGTTAAATCAAATTAGTTTAAATCACTGCAAAGTAACTTAAATAAATCATATAAAGTTTGTATTTATACCTACCAAAGTAAAATCTAAGAAAACAATTACTAGAAAACTCAGTAATTCTTTCATCTCTACCTGTTTTCAAGAATACTGATCTGTGAATTATGATTAATATTTTGTATTATTCTAGGTCCTTTAATATCTACATAAATAAAAAAAGATAACTTTGAGTTATATTGCGTTAATTTGGTTTACTTTTAATTTCATTAACATTAAATTTCAGTAAAGATACTTGCAATTTAGGGTGTTCTCTTTTGTTATAAGTTTTATATTTTCATTTTTAAAATTTTAAATAATAATAAACTACGAATGCAGCACTTTTACTGTAAAATTTCAGGTGAAGTCTTGAGTATGGAAGTGTAGAAAATCTACAGAAAGTGTAGCCTTATTCATTGACTGGTGAGAATTTGATTTGAAAGTTCTCTAAGAATATGATTTTATGTATATATGCTTAAATAATGACTTTATTATTACCCACATTGTGATATCCTTGATCATAGAAGGTAATACGTAGCAAATCAACCTGTTCAGTCTAATGGAGTTATATAATTACTCTTTTGGGAATAGTACTGTAATTTGTCCCTTTATGATTTTAGCTGAATAGTTTAATTGAAGATATTATGGACACATTCTTAGTACCACAGAAAAGCATTCCAAGTATCTTGAAAATGCTAATCAATCGGGCAGTGGAACCCAATCCACTTCAGTTTGCCTGAGTGAAGGTATAATACTGATGTGGTTGTCTGATAAGAGTTGCATGTGATATATAGTAAGGATACTCTCAGGTTGGAAGAGAAAAATGAGCCTTTCAGGTAGCAATGCTCACTGTCCCTCAATAATTTATAGATTTGAACTTATATTTTAAAATATATTCTTTATCCCTGAACCATTTAATGTATGCTTTAAAGACTCCCAGTGCAGCACTACCCTGTATGAGTTCTCAGTCACAGAATCACAGAGTATTCTGAGTTGGAAGGGACCCACAAGGATCCACAGCTAGGAACCTGCCGAGTGCCTGCAGGCTTTGACTTCTATCTAGCATATATGTGGGTTATAAAACCAGAAATGGTGTGGAAAGATCGTACTGAGGTGGAATAGCATTGACAAAGAATGTATCTTCACCAGCCCAGCGATACTGTTGTAACTAAAGAATTAGTTTAATTTTGTTAGTACAAATAGCATTGGTAAGATTGGACATTTTGGGCTATGTTATCTGTCAGAACACGTATAAAGAGTCTTCTAAGGGCATGGTTTTGATTGTTAGCACATTCTGAAGCCTGTGCTTTCACATATTCTGTGCTATTGTTGCTTGTGAGAAGGAGATAAGGATTTTAAAAAGCCAGAGAGGGACCTCGGCTTTGGTGGATAAATGTACACTTCCTGTATTTTATGTGTTCATGCCCAAATGTTTGGCCACCAAGTGATGAATCACTTACTTACCTTGTAGACTGTTCTAATTCTGCTCTATGTGTTGAGAATGTCAGTGTTTCTGTAAATCATGGATTAGAGAATTTTCAATTTGATGGTCTTTATCTAATGGGCATAAATCAATGAGCATCCTAATTCAGTTTTATCCTGATCTCTGATTATTGCTCATTGGCTCATATGAAGTAATTATTTTGAATTCTCATCTTGTTTCTGTGTAATCATTTCCAAGAAGATGAATAGGATACATGTCTGCCATGTCTCAAGAGACTATCCAAGAAAATGGGGTTGCATGCCAATTCCTACAAAATACTTGCTCTTGTAGAACTAATTTAGAGTTAATGGTTAGTGTTAATGGATTAAATTAAGATTTCATGTGTCTTTAAAAGCATGAATGTATTACAGAATTTGAATGGTAGTTACATTCTACATAGTTTTCAGTATTTTTTTTTTATGTGGGATTTCACTAAACATACAGGATTAAATGGTAATTCTGTGAATTTGTAGTTTTAACATCAGCTTGGTATTTGAGAGTGGTTCTGGGTGTTGCGGGCATATCTTGATTTGGCTTGCATTTAATGTTTTTGTAAGGGTCTTGTAATATTTCTAATGCAAGTCCTCTATTCAGTGTGCTTTTAGGTATTTTTTTTACATCTGTTCAGCAGTTCTCTCACAGGGATTTTCTTTTCTGAAAGAAAAGCTTTTGGGACCTTATATTTAGCCTGACAGAACAAAAGACCTTCTGATAAACAGTCTTGTAAGGAGGAAATATTACCTTCATTTCTTTCCTCGTTCATTGAAGGGGAGTGCTTTTGAGAAAATGAGGTGAATGAGTCTGAAAAATTTGTGTGTGTAAGTGTAGACTTTGGCAAGTCAAAAGATATTTTATAGTGGTACAGAATGCGTAGGCTGCACTTTTGGATTTCACTGCAAGGGCTCTGTAACCACAGCAAGCATTCTCCTGTAAATTTCTTGTAATGGATTTTGAGCACGTTGTGTGTTCTGCTGTTCTGTGTTATTTGCAGCTTCCTTGGAATTCAGCAACAAGCTTACCTTCTGGTTGGACTTGTCACAACTGTTTCTGATCTCTTGAAGTTGTAGTGGTACAACTTAAGTTTTGGATGTCAGCCCATCATTTGCTTTTTATCATCTTGTATTGAGCTAATTGAACATATTTCAGTATCAGAATTTGGTACAAAATTTGTTTTCTCAAGGAAAATTCAGTCAAACTTTCCCTGCTTTTAGAAATTAAACTTTTTGCTACCTTTCATACTAGCTCTTTCCTCAAGTCTCAACTATCACTTTCAATCACGTTTTTCACAGTAAGTTCCAGTATATTTCTTTTATTATGTTGCTTAGGACTGAGATTTCTTGAATCTCATAAACTGTAGGTTCTAAGTTATGATTGCTGTCGTTATGTTATAGGCATTAATTGTGCCCAAATTTCTTTGTTGGAAATTGTGGGCTAGCTTCTTTTAACTGTCTTTTAGTCAGTGAAGCCAAACATACATGATAAAACAGTACCTATCAAGTAGTACTTTTGAACCTTAGAACATTATTTACAGTTTCAGAAGAGAGTAAAGAATTCTATGCCTGTTGGTGGTGAAAAAAAATAAAAGGATGAATTTGAATAAAATTTGATCTCAGGGTAGCTTAGCAGACTTCCTAGTACATGGATCAGCAGAAGTCCACATTACACCTTTGAGGCTTAAATGCTGCTTAACCTTATTTCTGAGCAATCAGGAAAAGAATTTTCCTCTGGTACTGGTGAGTGTGCTAGAATTGAATGTACAAAGAATATAACAACTATAATGTGATCACCTTAAAATTGTTGTAAACTTTTAGGGTTGATAAGGGACATATATAAGACTCACCAGAGTGAAGAAATTTAACATTACAGGGAAGGCTATATATTATGGGAAATTCTTGTTAGTTTTTTTTTCCTCATGATGGCTGATTGAAAGTGATAATTGTTTGGTTTTTTTTATTTATAATTGAGTAGTGAGTGTGTTGCTCCAAGAATTAAACTGTGAATGATTAACTAACATTTATGCAAGACGGATACAACAAATTGTACAAATAACTAGTTAGAAAGTTGTATTTGTTTACTTTGTAGATGGTTTGTAAGTGCTAGGTAAACCTAGAGCTTGTGGAATCCTTCTGGATTTATTAATGTAGTTGATTGTCATGTGTCCAGAATGAACATTACTATAAAGAAAAGCCTCCAACAATATTATATTTCTCTAAAGGGTAAGAAAATATGCCTAAATTTACAGGTCCAAATTTATTTTAAATTATTTCACTTCTTAACAAAGAAAACACAAACCCCTGTAACCTCTCCCCCTGAAAAGCAGTTGAAAAACTTAAGAGGTGCATTTGATTTTTACAAATCTCTCAGAACCTAGGAATGGCATGATAAAAAATTATAAAGCAGGTGTAAACAGTATTAAGTATTGTAAAATATTACAAGAATTTCCTACTTGTTTTCATGAAAAGATATATAATTTTGCTTATCTTGCCTTATTAGGTTTCTTCCCGAGCAGCTCTCAAGGATGTGATGCTTTTCTTCGCCACAAGATAACTCTGATTTCTCCATCAATATTGAAAAATTATGGAATTCCTTTTGGGAAGGTACATTAGTGCTTTTTTTTAAACTCTGCTTTCATGTATCGAGTTAGTGTTCATTATAAAGATTGTTATAGTAAAGGTGGGGTAAAAATATTTTTTTTTTAGGCAGTGACTGCATGAAAAGATGTATTATAACTTTTATATAGTTTAGCTTGAAATTTTCTAGCATTACACACTTTTTAACCATCACAGTCTTTATTGTAAAAGTTTCTGTGATTTTTTTTTCTAAGACATTACCAAAATTTCTTAGTTTATTTCTATACTTTCAATTTAAATGTAACTTTATCAGTAGTATCTGAAAGATTTAGGGTGGGGTAAAGCCAAAATAACTGTTATTTAATTAAAAATATATTTTAAAAGCTGTAAAATAATAGAAAACGACTGAATGATTATTTTTAAGTGCTATGTCATGACACAATAAACTTTTGATAGGAACATTATACAAACAGGAAGTGGGAAGAATAACTGACTTTCTTCTTTGTGGATGAATTTAATACATAGCTGCTTTTAAAAACATCTGAAGTATTCAATTTTTTTCTCCTTTCTACAAGATTTTTCTTTTATTGTTTTCCACTTTGAACTTCTTATAGGTGCCAGCTAATAAAACATTTTCAATGCATTGCTTTCTTTTTGAAGTGTACTTATTTTATACACTGAATGCTTTACAAATTCAAAACTTCTAAATTTTGGAGTTTTGTAAGCTTACTTAGAAGACTAGAACTTGATTCAGAAGGTCCCACACCTGAACATCCGTGTATGTTAATACTGAATTTTTAAAAGCCTTTTGATCATTAAAGGACTATGATTCTTGGTTTCTCACTGTGCAGACTATTTTGTTTGGAAGAACCAGGCAATATACACTTTTTCTCAGTCTATTCCCACTGCGGTATAGTCCTGTAAACTGCCCTCGCCACACCTTACTTATTATTGTGGTTTCTGTTTTAGTGTATGTGCTGCTTTTATATTGATACCGTGTGGACATGTGTATACAAACTTAGCTTAACATGTTCCCCAGCCTAGAATATAGGGTAATGCAGTGCTTTCTGTCTGGTGTAGCTGATGTTTTTTTAACGGTATGAAACTTTAAATAATAACGTTTAAGTGAATATTTTCACATATATTATTGCCCAGCTAAACACCACACAGGTGCTTGATCACTCCCTTTTGGTGGGATTGGGGAGATAATCAGAAGGGTAAAGCTGGAAAACTTGTGGGTTGAGATAAAGACAATTTAATAGGGAAAGCAAAAGCCACACACAAGCAAAGCAAAACAAGGAATTAATTCACTGCTTCCCGTGGGCAGGCAGGTGTTCAGCCATGCCCAGGACAGCAGGGCCCCGGTCACATGTAACAGTGACTTGGGAAGACAAATGTCATCACTCCAAACAATCCCCATGCCATCTTTTATCACAGCTTTATATACTGAACACGATGCCATGGGGCCAGCTGTCCCATTTGTGTCCCCTCCCAACTGGTTGTGCACCCCAAGCCTCCTCGCTGGCAGGGTGGTGTAGGGAGCAGAAGAGGCCTTGATGCTGTGTCAGACATGCTCAGCAAGAACCAGAACACCTGTGTTATAACCCTGTTGGCAACACAGGTGGGAAGAAGCCACTGATTTGATGTATGCCTTTTTGGAATATCACTTCACTTTTCATGCTTAAGTCAACCTAAGTGTGAAATTGAAGAAATGTAGGCGTTTAGAATGATACTACCTGCCTTGGAAAGCAAGCTTTTTTTGAATAAATTACTCACAAAATAAGTAGTTTGTTTTTTAAGTGATGCATTATCATACGGAAATATAGTTGCTGAGTTCAGTTTTTGTAATATATAGGTAAATACTGATTCCCTTCATAGCCTTGTGCTTTATCATAAACTGTCAGGTGAAACTTTCCAAGCTGGAAGGTTTTATAACTAGATTTATAGTTTTGGATTTACAGAACATTACTCTGAACAGTATAATTTTCAGGGTTAGTGTTTAAAGTAGTGTACCTATTTTCAGTACCACATATTTGAGGTGGGGTAAGGGAGTTGACTTCTTGTATTTTGGTGTCTTGATCATTCCTATATTATAATTAAAAAAAAAAGCTATAAACAGTTAAAGTTTTGTTCTGTCACCTAGTCTTTGGAGGAAGCAGCCTGTACCCAAGTGTAATTGTAATTAATGGGATTCAGTGAGAAAGTGAATAGAGAGAACCAGGCTGTGATCTCTCATGGCTCAAAGTGATAGAAGTGAAAATGTGCTGAATGCTGATAAGTCAGCCTACGCCTACCAGGTGGCAGCTGAACTGCTGCTTGTTGCAATAGAACACCTGCTAAACTGTCAGCAGTGGGAGGGTGTATTGAGATAAATTTTGGAATCGTAAGCGTTGAGAATAATCTTTCTTAACCATTCCCATGGCGATTGTTGGAGTGCTACCGTAACAGTTATAATATATGCAACTGTATGTGCATTTGCCTGTATGTGCTAAATATGAATCCACAAAAAATTTACCCATGCAAAATGTAAGATGCAATTTTTTTCTTTAGCTTTGTTGGCTTAGTATATTTTTCTTGTTTTTCTCTCTTTCCTTCATCCTGTAATACAATTAGAAATAGATATCTGCTAATCCTGTGTGTTTTTCCATTGGGCAAAAAAAGAACACAAGGAATTGGTAAATCTGTAAGATAAGAATTTTGAAGGAGTTTTTAAAAGCAGAAATTTAATGTAAGACAACTATGTCAGCAGAAAGCTGAGATTTAGGACATAACGTTAATAAGAAAAATGTTTGGAGTTGTGAGTTTTAATTTTAGTGATTGTTTAAAGTTTAACCCTTTCTTTTCGTGATTTCAAATCATGAGTGTATTTACCTAAAAAGGGTCATGATTGTCCTTCCAATTTTTATTACTGTATTGCTTATGCAAAGCAGACAATGAAAGTTAATCTCTGAGAACTCCCCTTATTTTCATGTAATCAGCAAATGCATCTTGTTGAATAGTCATCAGTCACTCCTCAGATTATTTGCTTCATTTAAATGGATCTGTTTGCTTTTTAGTGGGCCTGTTGTATGATGTGTGTTTCATGTAAAAAAGTTGTATCAAACAGAGCATGGAGAATCTCTTTTGACTGTTCTCTTCTGTGTAATCTACTTTATTCATTAACTTTTATCAGATAGTTCGGAAGACAGTGTGCCATTTCAAGTCTCTGACTAGCCTGTCCTTGATACTGTCTTTGGTGGTCTGACTTCAGTTGATTAAAGCTGTCTCTGTGTGGAGAGAATATTAGTGACTGACAGAAGTGCTTTCTCTTCTCCATGTCCAGAGGAGAGCAGCAGTCCATTCTAGCAGAGAGAGATGAGATTTCTCTCTTGAAAGAGAATATCTTGACCTGTGATTTGTTTACCACACATTTTAAAGAAGCCCTTTAAATCTGATGTATCTTTTAAAACTAGGAAGTAGGAAAATGGTTTATTTTTGGATATACTAAATTATAATTAGCATGGCAGTGGCTTTTAGGTAGGTTTTTTTTGTTTTAGTTGGTTAGTTGGGGCTTTTTTTTATCTGTTTTCTCTAATTTCTTGTTGAGCCAGTGACCTTACACTTTTCTTTTGGTTGCACTTGTAAAGGCCAGAGTAGTCCTTTGAAACTACTGCTTATACTCCAAGACACTGTTAGAGCTTAACTGTAGTCAAGCATTTCTTCTTCAAGAATCATCTTCTATCCCCCTTGTCCTTTAGTTATTTGTAAATCTTGTTACCAGTAATGCCAGAGGGTTTCTGCTCTCTAAAATTTTGCTTAAAGAGGAAGAGAGGAAGGACAGTGGCAGATTAAAATTTGTTTTGATTTAATGTCTAAAGTGGTGCTTTAATAACTGTATCTTGAGACATTCTACATAAGATTTCCAATGCAGGGATCCCCTTGGTGGTAGCAACTGTTGTTGTGGAAAGAGTGTGCTGCACTTCCCTTGCTGGTGTTAACAGAGTTTAGTGGTTATTGTGACAGTGGTTTAACAAGATCTGATGAACACGTACACTTGAGTATTTATTGTATAGGGGATAGGATCAGCTGGAGCTGTCAGGGAGACCGTCCTCTTGAGTCACAGGTTCAGAGAGGACCCTGCTGCTTTCTAAGCTTCTTTTCATAGGGCAGTCTAGAAGGGGCTGGATCGAGGCTTTGTCGCCAGACTTGGTCAACTCTTCATGTCTAAAGGATTATACATGCACTATCAACCTTTTACATGACTTAGCTAAGATGACAAAATTTCAGTATGGTTACTCCCAGTTCTCTTAACAAGTATCTGACGTGGCAAGAAGTCTCTCAGCCCTGAGGAGTAAGCTTGAGAGGTGTCCCTACTCAAGGGGAGATGCTGGCTGCAGCCTCTGCCATGGACTGGGGCACTGTTTATGGAGGAAGATGGTTGACTTTCAGTCATATTCAGATACCAACAGGACATCTGGGTCACTGCACAAGACAGCCCCTGGCCACTGTGTTGCCATCCATCTTCCCGAAGTTCATCTTAAACCATATGCAGCCATCATGACTGCCACTGGTGGTTGTTGCTTTGGACTGGGGAGAGCACACTGCCCCAGCTGTAAGGCCTAAGAATTGGTGCATGGCGTTTTTCATTAATTCTTCTTCCCCCTCTTCCCACTTAAAGACGCTGCCTGAGGTATTCCAGTGTGTTCCTTTGGGATGAACAACATTGTTTTCCTAAACTGCTAAGGCTTGTCACCTTAGAGTTTCTTCTACTTTATGCTTTCTTGCATAAAATAGGATAGGAAGAAACTTAAAAGGCTAATCAGGCTCTCAGTCGCAAGTCATTGAATCACAGTTTTTGAAATCAGTGAGTATAGGAGAGAAGGGTGAGAATAAGATCTCTCTCCAGTCTTTTGAAGAAGACTTTTGGTGCCACTTTAGAGAAACTTCTTCAGGGTGGCGGACAGAATAAGTTCTACAATTAATTTGTGTGAGTATTTAGGAATGATAATTGGGGATACAGAACGTGTCTGCTTCCTCTCAGCCAGTAGGAATGATATATACTTCATACTGTCTTTTCTAGTTCCCTTTACTTCTAGATTTTATTACCAGTGAACCCCTGCTTTCAAGATTCTCTATTTTGAACGTTCTTTCTGAATTTGTGAAGTATTACATGCAGCTATGTATTTTATAGTAAAGAACATTGTCTCAAGTGTACTGTTTCTGCTTGCATTAAATCTCATTTCCCTGCAAGGTGAAAAAAAAGTCTGTGTTTTCAGTTAGTTGTAAAGGCAAATGTAAATTGCATTGCTTTATGACCAGAACTGCTTTTGTAATGTGGATCACTTTGAGGTTTTTTAAAATTTATTTATTTTGTTTGGATTTTTTAAAAATTTTATTTTAATGTTACAGGTTACACAAGAGGCGGGAGAATTTATGATCACTTTCCCATATGGATACCATGCGGGATTTAACCATGGATTTAACTGTGCAGAGTCAACAAACTTTGCCACCATTCGATGGATTGATTATGGGAAAGCAGCAAAATTGGTAAGTCATACTGCAGAAAATTGATGTGTAAGGAAATCTTTCCTGTGGTTATTTCTTTGTGAGAATCTATGGAAGCTGATGAGAAAGGGAGAACTATGAGATCAGGTAGTACCTTACACTGCCATTGAAATTTTATTTATAGTTGCTGTTTTATAGTGGGTATTATACTTCCAGCAATATGCATTCCTCTCAGTCGTGAGGTTTTTTTGCAGGTTAATGTGTATAGTGTTCTTCAGAACTAGTTCTATTTATGGATATTTTTAAGTTGAAGCTACGTATACTGAGGTTAGTATATGTGAAGACAATTGCCTTTGCTCTTAAATCTCCTTTAAGCTCTACTGTTTGTGAAAACACTTTAGTTGAACTAGGAATTTTGACACCTGGAAAGAAATAATGAAACTTAAAGTTTAAAGAAACAAATTCAACTTTTCTCATCTTTAATGTAATCAGAAAACTTGTAGTACAAGATAATAAAGGAACTGAGATGTGTATTATTTTAGACTGCAGTCTTGTTCTGTGGTGTGTGTATCTTCCTTCCGTTTACCCATAGGCACTCAACCTTATCATCCCTCTCTTTGTGTTTTGTACAGTCAAAACACTCCCAATGTACAGAGCCACGCCACTGCTTCTACTTCCTTGCCTATCCCTTCTGAACAGCTTATATCCATCCACTGATGGGTGTATAAGTAATGGAATAAAGACACAAAATCAAGAAAGTGCACAATTTGTTCAGCAGAAGTTTTTTACTGTTGTTCAGTATTCTGTGACTTTTATTAGTGTTAAGGCTTATGTAAGCCTTGGTTTGGATGACTCAGAAATTAAATCAGAGGCATTTTCTGCATTGACTTGTTTGTTGTTGAGAAAAACCTTTCCAATGTGATGTCCTTATATTAGCTATTATGATGACATAGAATAAGGGGAAAATCATCTGTGCTGGTTTAACAGCTAAGTAATGATTGTGAACTCTTGTTAAACATGGGAGACTGGTGAACGCTTTCATGAGAAAGTTCTCAAATAGCAGAAACTTCTGATTTTAGGCACTAATGATTATTATTGTTCATGAAGTGGAATATGCTTCCAAGGGAAAAGTTTGTGAATATTTTTTTCTCCATGTGCTCTGTATGCACATAATAACAGTAGTGAAAGTACTGAAAATCTCTACATGCATCCATCATGTTCAGACTGGTCTTTATTTTTAATAGGAAAGTTCTGTTTTTAATAGCCAATGGATAAGGTGGCAACTGTAGAGTTAATTTAAAACCTCTAAAACCTATGCATTTGATAATTTTACCTTTGAAATTTCTGTGGATAGTACAACAAAACAAAGTTGAGAGAACTATGGACACACAAAAGTTAATTGTGGCAGGTAAATGACCTGGATTTTAAAAGGTACGAGTGTCATGCAGCTCAAAAGTTGATTAAGCTGTACTTTGAGAATGGCAAAATTCATCTTCAACTGTAGAGCAAAGCTGAGGTAGTGCTACCTGCAGGTACCTCCCTGTCAGTGTACTGGCTTCATATTTCTTAAGTTTTTTAAAAATGGCCTACTATTTGGTGTACAGCTGCCCCAGTACAAAAAATTAAATGTTTTATGCCTCCAGCATGCATCTCTATTGTTGTATTATACTGTAAACTTAAGGTCATCTTTAAATTCAACAGAGTTAGAAGATAATTTTTTAAAGCTAATGTAATTATATTGCTTTTCATCACTGCAAAACTGCTTCTAAAATTCTGAAATTTTAGCTAGGAAGCCTTGGCATATACAGTCTAAACACTGTTCTATTTTGTCAAAATTCTCTAGCATATGGATAAAACTTTCATCTTATGAGACTGAATTTTGTGCTCTGCGGTTATTGCACATAGGAGCAGTATTGTGCATATATAAGAATTAAAGTCTGGTGTGTGCAGTTAAATTTAAATGCCTAAAACCTTCAAAGAGGCATCTGGACCAATAATGGCTTCTCTACAGAGAAATCTTAGATACGGTAAAATATGAGTTGCAGCTTCTTTGACAAATGGTCAGAGTGCTTAATGTTATTTGCTCATTTTTTTATCACTTATTATCACAAGAATGAGAATTAAAGTTTACTTTTTTCCTCATTTCAAACTAATAGTAGAATTCTTTTTTTAAGTGGAAAGTGGAAATGTCTAAGAAGAGAAGAACTAAAGGAAAGATAGTGAACTAATTCTTCATAAAACTTCCTTTTATTTGTTCATACCATACAAGTAGGGTAAACAAGACAAACAAAGGAAATACTGTAGAATCATACAATGAATTTACATTGGAAAAGACCTTTAAGATCATTTGAGTCCAACCGCTAACCCAGCCATCAATATGGCCAAGGCCATCAATAAACCATTCCCTAAGCATCTATGGGTCTTTTAAATACTTACAGGCAGAGATGGTGATTCAACCACTTCCCCTGGGCATCCTGGACAATGCCGGACAACCCCTTCTGTGAGGAAATGTTTCCTAACGTGTAATCTAAACCTCCCCTGGTGCAACTTGAGAGCATTTCCTCTTGTCTGATCACTTGTAACTTGGAGAAGAGACCGACCCCGCCTCACTCCAAGCTCCTTTCAGGCTGTTGTAGAGAGTGAGGTCTCCCCTTATGACAAGCTGTGTGACAGAACTGCCATAGAACCACTATATTACCGGTATCATTATTTCTGACAACCACACCCCCACCACCTCTACTTAGTGAGTCCACATCAGATGAGTCTTTCTGAACGAATTTAGGTTACGTGTGAAAGTTTAAAACCTGGCATTTGAGGCTACTGCTTAGAAAGTTTTTGTCTTGCCTGGGTATGTGTGAAGACCACTGTGAACTCAACTAGTTGAACTTCTTCAGCTTTCTAGCCCAGAATTAAGGTGCATGGCAAATGCCTGTATTTAGTTCTACAGCCTGGCTTTCTGCTCAGCTCCTCTGCCCTTCATAGTTCCCAGTAACCTTCAAGTTATATGACTTCTCCTTCACGTGCACAGATGCAGACGTAAATTGCGTGTTTATCACTGCACACTTATAAATAAATGCATGTATATCACCTGCCTTGGCTCAAACTAATCTTAAAGTCTCTTCTCAAACTGCTAATAGCACCAACAAAGGCAGGGGGAAAAGCCCAAAGTAATAGCAATAAACCTTAGCACAGCATTCATGCTCTCAGTCAATACGGTCGGTCTTTCATTCTGGATTGCTTTCCACAAAGACCTTTCTATCAGCTGGCAACTTCCTTGCCAGACAATTATTATGAGGGCATTCAGGTTTGAGACTGTGTGTCAGTGTTGCACAGGCACCAGCTACCAGGGAGAAGGCACAGAGCACGTAACAGGATGCACGAGGAAACAACAGGATTATGCTGCACTGTAGTAAGCATCGCAGTAGCTTCAGAACGTAGCGTTGGCAGCTTCTGAGGCAGCTAGAGCAAAAACGGCACCTACACCATTTTAGGACAACATGTGAGGGCTGTTGTGGTTGGATTTCCTCAGGGAAAAAAAACGAAAAATCCAAATAAATTTGGATTGTTGTCCATGTAATAAATATTTAAGATAAGGTATAAGATTATAAGGTCTAAGGTACCTTCCACCCCTCTGCCCACCCCCCCAAAGAATTTATGGTCTGATTTTGTATAATTGTACTCTGTTTCTTGATTACAGCATTGTAAGACTCCAGCACCTGAGTTATGTGCTCACTGACTGGGTTTTACTTTAAAAATACACAAGGCTCCAACAATTTATCTGCCAAATTTATTAGAAGAACCTTTGGTTCCTTTAACACCTTAAGAGAGAGTGCAAAGGAAAAAAGCTGCCCACATTTTCTCAGGAGGTACTTTTACTGGTAAACTTTAGAAAATAACAGAATTTGGCAAAAGTTTAAAGATTAGCATCCAACCAAAGTAAAGTGTTCCACGAAGCATTGACTTAGCCCATGCTAACCCATACAATTTAGCAAAGTTCCCATCCTAAGCTACCCAAAATATCAAGAAAGGAGATTAGGAGAAGAAGAAAAGAAAGAGAGAAAAAGAGAATTATAGCTACCACCCCTAGATCCATCAAAGATCCAGCTACAGGAGTCCAGAACAGCATGGAGAGCTCATGTTGCTGTTTTTATTTGTTTTGGCAGCCAGTCCAGGGCTGGGTCAGGGGCTCTGGGGTGTGGTGTGGGGCACTGCTCCTGGTGTGCAGTGACAGACAGCTGCTCTGGGACTGCCCGGGGAGGCTCCAAGGGGCTGGAGTGTGGGACAGGGCATCACAGACACCTTTGTGAAATTTGACCTGTCCCTTCTTCCTCCCCCCCACCACCTTGAGTTGGTCTGAGCTGATAACTAATGTAATAATCCAGTGTCTCACAGGTGTTTGTCTGGGAAACCATGAAAGATAGCTATGATTAGTTTTATCACAACCTTAGGAAACTTCTTGAAAGTATTAATTAAAAAGGTAAGACGTCTATGTGCCCAAAGAATACTGGTATTTTGTAAGTTTTATTTGCAGGTATGGTAATTTTATTTAAAAACAGAAAAAAGAAAAAACAAAACCCACACAACCTTGCCGTCCCATTTATTATTCTTCAAACTGCTGATACTGTGTTTGACTTATCTTTTCTTTCTTTATGTGTAATGTGCAAGAATTTTAATTGAATGTTTGGGATCCTGTAGTTCTCCTGTATTGTACTGCAGAAATTGTCTGCGTCAGCAAAATGTATCAGTATCTAGGTCAGTTCATTGCTGTATTCTCCTTAGAGAATATTGTATACTGAAGACTATTTGTCTTCCTACAGGAACACATTTATGTTTTATAGGATAGTTTTTAATTGCTTACAGCTGGATTTCTGTCTTTTAAAGAAAAAATTATGAAGTCAATATTTTTCATAGATTTTTGGGAAAAAAACATTCCAGAAAAGATTTTTGTTAATGTTATAGTAAATATTTAGCCTATGTGATGATACTGCTTTCCTGAATTTAATGAGGTGATGTTAAAGATTCTGTGAAATCACATTTAAATG